TTGGCACCCTGATCAAGGAGCAGCTGGACCACTGCTTCATGCCCTGTCAGTGATGCTGCCTGCAAGGCAGTCCCATAGTCGCCACCCTGTGCATTCACATCAGCACCTCCATTGAGGAGCAGCCGGACCACTGCTTCATGTCCTCGGTATGATGCCGCCGGCAATGCATTTCCATAATACCCACCCTGTGCATTCACGTCCGCCCCTTGATCAATAAGCAGCTTAACAACTGCCTCATTTCCACTCTTTGATGCTGCCTGCAATGCAGTCCCATAACGCCCACCCTGTGCATTCACATTGGCACCCTGATTGAGGAGCAGCTGGACAACTGCTTCATGTCCTTCCACTGATGCTGCCTGCAATGCATTCCCATAATTCCCACCCTGTGCATTCACATTGGCACCTTGATTGAGGAGCAGCTGCACCACTGCTTCATGTCCATCCACTGATGCTGCCTGCAATGCATTCCCATAATGTCCACCCTGTTCATTCACATTGGCACCTTGACTGATGAGGAGCTGGACCATTCCCAAGCTACCAGATTGTGCAGCACCAATGAGGTCCTGCTCCTTGTGTTGGTCCTGGATGGATGTATCATGGGCCAAAAGATATCTTGCTGTTTCCTGCAAGTTGAACAGTGCAGAAAAGAAAAGGTCTGTGGAGGTGTTGAAATCCTTGTTGTATATGTCCCAGGAGGAATGAGGGTACTGCTTGAGTCTAACCGATGGCCAGAATCTGGAGAGCCATCTGGAGGCATGGGCCAGGAATGTCAGGATCATATTCCGGAGTATGAGCTCAGGCTGCCCCACAGAATGAACAAGACAATAGCGGAATGAATAATCCAGTAGTGGATGTTCTTGCACCAATGCATTCAGCTCCTCAAATGAATCTGGTAGCTGCAGGAAGTCATCATACAAGAGGTATGTGAGACATCCACGGGCGATTTCTGTCTGCGCATATGGGAATTTACTGGGTTGCACATGATCCATATAATCTTGAGTGGTATAGTGGATGAATCGAACACTACCATCTGCATGGTTGATAACAACCAACCCAGCACAGACAGAAAGGAAGATATCTGGGTCAAGAAGACCATCTCGATCAAGTGTTTTTGTGCCTGGCTCAATAGCAATAGCTTCCCGGAGTTCCGCAACAGAGAGTGGTGTCTTGGCATTTGCAATCCAGATGAGAATTCTTTTGGCAATGTTTCTGTCCTCTTCGCTTTGGGACTCAATGCGATCCATTGCTTCTTTATAGCTATCCTCCAAATCTGTTGGCAGACTTTTTAGAGCTTCACGAACAGCTTTGACTGTGTTTCTTGTTGTGAGAGAATCGATGTGAAGCTTAGCAAGCAGGAACCTTCAAGATTGTTGAGTCAGTTAGAACATCTATCAATGAATAAACAGCAGCATTTACATTCCATCAACATTGCCGATAATTTGATTGTCAATTTCCTGGTGTAGCTCTGGACGAGATTGGACATGTCTTGACAACCGAAATGAGTTCTGTATCTGCGCATCAAGATATCGGCGGATATCCTCCTCTGTTGCCCGGATCTCGAGAGCTGGTGTATTCGGAAAGAATATCTCTGGAGTGATATGGGGCCGTGAAGTAAAGAGTAAATTGATGTTAGGCTTGAGTGCTGCCAGGTGTTTCAGCAGCACATGGCGCTTGGTCTCCGGATACTCATCAAGGGCATCAATGACAATATATACCTTGGAGTAATCTGCCACCACAGAGGAAAGAATGGCATGCATCTCATTAATGGAGGGTCGTGTTTGCTTTTCAAGATGCTTGTGATAAAGTGAATGTGCTGGAGAACCTGTGAGAATGGGCTTTGCAAATATGAGCTGCCGCCAGAGGCCTGCCAGAATATTTTCGGGGGATTGCATATCCGTCTCCTTGTAGTTCAGGTATGCACAGGCAACTCCGACATTCGGGCTCGGAGATTTCTCCCGAAGATGATCGACAATGGCTGATCTATTGGAGGTTGAATAAATATCATCAGCCATAGAAAAGTACTCACGAAAGTACCGTTTTCCCAGCCCCAGCTGTAGTTGAATCAACATGAGAAAAATAGAGCTAAAAGAGTTACACACGCATTCCATAGCACCAGAAAATTTCCCCGGCTCCAGAGACCCAGTCTTTGAATTTAGCATCCTCCAATAACCATAGGCCCGTTCCTTCCTGTCGAGCGCACAATATATCGTCGTGCCGCTGAAAGAAATTCAGCAGCGAAATCCATTCGATAATCCTCTTTTGTTCTGCCGCTGCGTGCTCAGCTTCTAGCCCTAACCCAATGTGAGCCATATCTCATTTCTGGAACCGTGAGCAGCCTCACAATCGATATGCTTTCGCTGATCATCTGCAACATCTGTGATTTTGTTCAGAGCAACTATGCCGAAGCAGAATGTTAGTCAAAATAAGAATCCGGTCCAGCACACACCATCCTGTTCTCGATGGTGTCCCTGGGCAGCGTCAGCCACAGCCTTGATTATTTCTAGCACCAGTGAAATCCGTGAGTGACCAACAGTGAACTGGACAATGTTTGAAATTCTTACGGTCATGATTGTTTTGCTGCTGCTGGCCGATGTCCCTGAATAGTTGCGAAATAAATAAATGATTTCTTATACTGCCGCAGAGATACGCACCAAATATCCAACACCAGCCACATGTTGAGCAATGCTTTGAATCTTTCCATCTTGACAAGATCCTCTTCCGCCTCCTTCTTATTCCACAATGTCCAGCTCAGGGCTTTCGGAATTCTCGACCCCGGCTTATTGGCCGATCGCAGCTTAGCCATCACATGCTCCATCGTATCCTTGAATTGAGCCAACGGGTCCTTGAGGCCCAGCATTCCATGAACCAATGAATTGGCCTGCAAGCGGCCTTCAAAGCTCTTGAGCAGCGGCTCGAGGTTTCCGACTTCCGCGAAGAGATTCCGCTGTTCTTTCGGCGCATTGGCAATATCTCGGACCATGTTGATACTCGCTTTGGCGGCAGTAATGAGCTGGAGGATGCTTGCGACGATACCGAGGGGATCGGCCATGGTGGACGAAGGCAAGGACGATAAGCGCTGTCAGAGCTGTCGAGCTGCCAGGGAAGCTGTTACATGCTCATCACTTCATAGAATAGAGCGTCTAAACCAATATATTGCATGCCGATACAGCAGTATAAAGAATGGAGTGTGCGCGCAAGGGGGGATGAAAATGGAAAGTGGCTGACTAGCACTGCTAGGTAGGTAGAAACGGACTCTCCGACTCTCTACGGACCACGAGCAGTGCCACTGCGTCGCCCGCGGGCACGCCAAACTGCCCGAAACACGCGATGTCCACGGCCCATTCGTACGTACATATACGAAGCCTCGTGTATTCGTGCGTATCAAAGCCTTGTGCAGCAGTGCAGGAAGACGGAGGAAAGGGAGGGGAGGGAAAAGGAGGACAGGAGGGAATGGCGGCATGAGGCTGACGCGCTCGGCGCACAAAAGTGGCTGACCCCCACTGCGCCAACGTCCACGCCACGATCTACAACGTCCGCGCCGTTGCTCAACATCCGCGCGTCGACATATCGACAGGACGGCATCGACAAAAGTTGGAAGAGCGTGCAGAACGAAAAGGCAGGGGAAAGAGGACGAAAATAGACGCGAGGCCGGGGACGGGACGCAATGGAGGGACGGATATGCGAGGTGGCGGACGCAGACGCGGGTGACGACGCGAGTCAGCTGGGAGGGAGGAAGGGTGAGAGGAAAGGGACGAGAATGGTGCGACAAGCAGAGAGAGGACGCGGGGCGAGCAAGGCGGCGGGCGCCCAACAAGACGAAAGCCGACGGCGCGCGTCGGCTAGGGCAGGAAGGAAGGGAGCGGGAAGCGAGGACGAAATGGTGGGACGAGCGACACGGACGCGCGCAGCGACGCGAGGACGGGAGGATGGGAGGAGGGGGAGGCGGGGACGGGACGCGAGAGGACGCAATGGAGGGGTGAATATGCGAAGTGACGGACGCGGGCGACGACGCGAGTCGGGGAGATGAAGGGACGAAGGGAAGGGAAGGCAAAGCAAGGGTGGATGGATAGGGGGGAGGAGGGATGCGAGGATGGGGGTGCGGAGGACGGACGGGGTGCAGAAGGATGGAAAGGTGGACGAGGACGTGACGATGCTCATGAAGATATAAGGAAAGAAGGAACCCGGCACCGTCACACGTATCAGCCGCCCGCACCGCAGGCGACACGAAAGGCGACAGTCGACGATTCCGCTATGGCGAGTATACGGCTGGGCGGCTCCCGATTGGCAGGATGACGGTACGTCGATAGCGCGAAAAATAGGACGAAGAAGCGCGCCACATTGAGGGTGCTGCGCTGCGGGCGGGGTCGTGGGCGAGCCAATCATCTTCGTGGTGCTATTGGTGTTATTCTCCCGACAACGGGATGTAGTCGGCGACTTTGCGGGCGAGGCGGGGCGCAGGAAGGCGAATAGCACAGGGTCGGGGCTGGTTATCGTCGACATCGTTTGCGTCGTCCGTCGCCGGGAGCTCAAGCCTCAGATGAACGACGAGGAGAGTGCTAGGAGAAAGACGCTTGATTTGGTCATGATTGGTTGCTCGGCCGGGAGCTGCCGGGCTTGGTTCGAGAAGTTCAAATTATTGTGAGGTGAGTTTACTCCTTATCTGGGGCATAGATATTGCAGGAAAGCCTCGGTGGATCATGGTCGATCGTCACTGTTACGTCAGGTAGACTACTGCGTAGACAAGGGGAAGGCGGGGTTTGAGTCACTCCCGAGGCACTGTATAGAAAGCACTGACTTTTTCCCTCACTTTATGGTTTTTCTGGATCGAATTTACGTCAACTTCGTCCGGTTCTATCCATTGAAGCAAGTGAACTTGGAAAGCAAAGGCGAGTCCGCAGTAATTTAATTCATTATGATTTCTGATGGTTGGGTCGCTGAGGCAGAAGCAGGTCCACAACTCAGATCACCCCACTTATCCAACCTCCAATTGAATACAATAAGCGTTGGTGGATCTGTGGTAGATCGTCCCAGTTTTATAAGTGTTTCAATTGATCATAAACATCTGTGGGAAGACGGAGGTTCGAATCCTCCCCAAAGCATAAATTGGCTCTATTGCCTTTTTTTCACCATTATGTCAATTCAAAACAGGCCGTTCTAACTTCACACAATCATATGTATAGAACTTGCTCATTTAATTCGGATGCTCGAATTGCCGAGAGGCAGGTCCATAACTCACAGAAAAATCACTGCACCTAGAATTTACAAACCAATTGAAGTCCAGGTTCATTCGATTTTTGTTTGCTCAGATATTCAATCGTAGGTTAGACGGTTGAAAAGACATTGGGCTCGCACCCAAAAAATTACCCCCACTTATCCAACTTCAAAATACAGAGAATAAGCCTTGGTAGATCAATCGGCAGATCAATGTCGCAATACTTTGTGCCGTTCGGCAGATGGGGGTTCGAATCCTCCCCAAGACATAGGGTCGACATTGTGGAGTACCTTTTTGTTCTTGCCTTAATTATTTTACCCCCTTTATTCCATTCGAAACCACGCCAGTCTGTGTACATGTGTTCATTTACATATTTTGCAAATCAATTGAAGTCCACGTTCATTCGATTTTTGCTTGCTCAGATATTCAATCGTAGCTTAGACGGTTGAAAAGACATTGGGCTCGCACCCAAAAAATTACCCCACCTACCCAACCCCAAAATACAGACAATAAGCCTTGGTAGATCAATAGGCAGATCATCCCAACCTAGTGCACCTCGCGACGAATATACGGGAAGGCGGAGGTTCGAATCCTCCCCGAGGCATGGGATGTCGACGTCTGGCTTTTTGACATTGCTTAAGTTTTTTTCTCTTCATGATAGCAAAACACGTCTGTCTGTGCGTTCCTACATATGTAGAACTGCACAAACACGGGAGCTTGAGTGCATTTATTCCCTCCACCATGATATATTTGGTCAGCGGTCGACAAAGTCGAAAAGAGCATGTACAGAAATCACACCATCTATCCAACCTCCAAATACAGAGCATAAGCCTTGCTAGATCAATTGGAAGATCATCCCTACTCGGTGCGTTGACCAGTCACTGTCTGGGGTGGGAAGACGGAGGTTCGAATCCTCCCCAAGGCATTGTGGATTGGACAATAATTTTTTCTTTTCACCATGTATCCTTCTTGCATTACCTCTCATATAACATTGTATGAATGCTGTTCTATGCATAGGGAGAACTCATTAACTAAGTTGGAGTTCGAAAACTCAGGTATTTGTCACAGAAATCATCGATCAGCGGGTTGAAAAATCGACACGCAGAGTGTACAGAAAACACAGTAAGTTCTCGCGGTTCCCTTTTGGTTCGTGAACGCGGCCCCCGTCCATAGTTCAATAGGCTCAAGAATTTGAGCCCCTGTTAAAGAGCCAGCCGCAAGAAGGGGGGAAATTACAAGCACGGCATGTTGGATTTCGGACCAAAACTTCCCGTTGGCCCCTTACTTAACTGTACTTGACGCTACATTGCGGTACATTGCCTTATCCGACTTGTAATTTCACTTTCAGCTACTTGATATGGTTCAGCGTCGCAGAGACACTTCAGAGATGGGTCCTTTCCATGACAAATCACTTGCATGCTTCATTACTTACCTGGCCTTGTTGTTACACCCCTAATATAGCTCTACTTGGATTTACTTACTGTTACTTTGCTGTATGTTGCTTTACTTTACTTGACAAAAGTACTTAGCCTGCCAAAAGTAAAGTAAACTTAATTTTGTAGGGCTAAGTTAAATTTCATAACTTAGTGAGGTCTCTTGAAGGACGTGATTAACCAGCACTAGGAAGAGCCGGCACTAATTTCATTCATTAATTCTGATCGTTGAGTCGCTCAGGTCTACAGCTCGCACAGAATTGACTGCACCCACCCAGCCTCGAAAAACAGAGAATAAAGCCTCGGTGGATCAATTGGCAGATCATCCCAGCTTTATATAACCGGTATACGGGAGAACGGAGGTTCGAATCCTCCCCAAGGCATTGACAACGACGGTTATTTCTTTTTTCTTTTCTTTTCTCCTTCCTTCTGGCACACCCTATACATGCTCGGGGTGCCAGCCGTTATGTGCAGTCGACCAAGTACTCAGAAAACCAAAAATGAATTTGATGTTCACTGTACTTTTTGTGTACTTGCATTCAAGTAATCAGCAGCCACAAGGCTGCAAAAGAGACAGGCAGCTCTCGGATAAATCACAGAACCTACTCAGCCTCCAACTTTAGAGAATAAGCCTTGGTAGATCAATGGGCAGATCATTCCTATTGTTTACTTGCGGGTATACTAAGGGAAGCCGAAAGTTCGAATCCTCCCAGAGGTATGGGTTTTCAGTGATGAAGCGTGGCTTTTTCGTTCTTGCCTTGCATGTTCTCCTTGTTTCATTGTGTCATTTCAAACATACCAGTCTCTGTGTTCATCCACACATATAGAATTTCCCAACCATTCAGAGTCCACATTCATTCAAATTTTGTTTGCTCCGATATTCAATCGTAGCATAGAAGGTTGAAAAGGGACTCGCCCCATTCAGAGACTTCTCGTACCTATCCAGCCTCAAAATAACACTTGGGAAGACGGAGGTTCGAATCCCCCCAAGGCATTTTCCACAGATACTGGTCTTGTTTTTTTTTTGCTTTCTTCCTTCTGGCCTGTACTATACACGTTCAGGGTGCGAGCCGTTTTGTGTGCAGTCGACCAAGGCCTCAGAAAAAAAATGAATCTGAAGCTCATACTTCCTCCATACTGTACCGTTAGTGACAAGGTTGAAGGAGACAGGCCACTGCACAGAAATTGATGCGTTTATCTATCCTCGAAATATAGAGAATAAGCCTTGGTAGATCAATTGACACTCAGTGACTCTCCCGATAGTTTCTCATGGGAAGACGGAGGTTTGAGTCCTCCCTAAGGCATGACGGTCATCATCGTGCATCTTTTTCCTCACGGATCACCCTGAAATTTACAGAGTGGACGGGCGACATATTTTGTTGCTTCGTAGAGGTCGAAAATAAAATTTACCTCCAGTCAATGCTGGCTGCCCGCATTATTTTTCAGAGGAAACAAAGGAATTATTGCGCGCCAAAATTCATTCCATTTGTCCAACCCAGAAATAAATGTATAAGTCTTGGGACACATGTTGGCGAAGGTGTCTGGGGCAGCACGGAACTCGACCGGGGCACAGGAGACTATCGAGAGAGCGCAGGCGCCTCCCAATAGCGAGTGCGAGGGCAGCGCATTAAAGATGCCGTGAGGCACGTCGAAGAAAAAATGACACTGCGACGCACGCCGAACTCGCCTGGGGCAGCGTTGGAACTCGCGTGTGGACGAACAAGAGCGCCCGAAACGCAGCCCCAATCGATACCGATACCGAAGGGCAGCGGAAAGAAGGAAACGCAAGGAAACGGGGAGAACGAGGCAGGGTGAAGGGTTAAATGGGGGATCGAAGGGCGAGGAGAGATGAAAGGAGGTGAAAATAAAAGAAAGCAACGGAGGAAGAACCACTCACCCAAGCCTTCCCAGCTTCTCCTCGCCTATGCGTACAAATGAACGGCCACCCACGCGCCGACCTCGCCGCCGAGGTCGCGGTGAAAGCAGCGCGGACGTCCAGCGCTTGAGCGAGGTGCCGTTGTTTATTGCTTTATTGTCCGGTGTGGCGTCTGTCGTGTCAAATGAAATTAGGGGCAGGGGTTGTAAGGATAGAGGAAACGCACCCAACCCGGGCGGCACCTCCTTCCCATTTTTATATCTTCGTATGGGGCCGGGAAGGTTTCGTCCGGAACAGTTTCTTCCTGGCTGGCGGGACTCCAGCTTTGGCACGCCATAAATCTGGCTCCTTGGGATGGAGCTGCGCTTCTGAGCCGAACAAGGAAGGGTGTTTCCAAGCTCGCACCTCCTTCATCTCATCGTCCTCCACGCGATCCTGTTTCCTTTAGCCATTTGACGGTTCTTAGAGCTGCTGTCGACCTTTCGAACACGCGCGACGCCGCAATTTGGGCCGTTGCTTGCACAGCCTGGAGAGATTGCGCGACTCGGTGAGCTTTTGGTTGATTCAGCTTCCAAATTTCAGCCTTCTCGCCATGTCTCCCGAGGCTGCGAGAAGAAGCGCGGGACCGCTTCGAACAGCCACAAATTCTTAGGCTTCAAAATCCCGTGGTCGACGACGAAGAAATCCGCCGGTGATTGGATCACGTCTACGGAGACATTGACGATATCGACGCTGTAGCCGCCTTCGAACATCACCTGGCGGTCAATTCTTCTGTCCCTGATGACACTCCATTTTTTTCCTACGAGACACGGTCTGGTTGGGCTTGCCTCTCACGTTCCGACTTTATGAACCGTTGCAATACATTTGGTTCAAAGCCGGTATGGGCGTCCTCAACGGTCACGGATTACGAATTGGTGGAACTACCCATCTTCTCCTTCGCGGTGTCGATCCGTGGGTGGTCATGAAACAGGGACGCTGGAGTTCCTCCGCTTTTCTTCTGTATTGCCGCAATGTTGAGGAAATCTTACCTCTTTTTATTGGTGATTCTTTAGATACATTTACTTCACCTAAAGATTCTGTCGCATGCTTAGCTAGATCAATTTAGTTGGGGGAGTCGTCACTGGGATGGCGACTGTCCGTTCACGTTGTTCTCTCATTTTAGGAAGTGGCCATCCTGGTGCCTCACTCACAGAGACCCGAGAACCCGCAGGTTTTTCGGCCTCCTCTTCCCAACGTCTTTTAGTTTATTCTTGGACTTCTAACGACTTAGTTAGCCAAGTATTTAGCTGTGAGGTACGGTAGTGGCCACAGGCATGGGAATTTCGAAAATGGCACGAAGCGCAAAAGCATTAAAATAAAACGAACACAGCAAACTTGCGCACATACTGCGGCGAAAGTACTGACGCCCGGTTTATCCGCACATCCCCATGAACACCACGAAAATTGAAAGTTAATTGTCCCCACCTGCTAAATTTGATTCTCTTCAGGTTGAAGCTGAGGAATAAATCGCGTCAGAAGGCATACTGTAGGCAAAACGTGAAGGTGACATGCACCACCCGAGTTGCAATAGTTGTGCGACATGGAAGGTGGACTTGATTACCAAGGGCTCAATTCCTGATACTTTGAGACGGATTTAAATTTAAAAGAGGAAATATAATTGTTTATCGACTGTTGTAAACTTACTGTTTCTCTGATAGCAATGTACGACACCCTCCCAAAACTGTGGAGCGTGCTTTGTTTTTTCCATCTAAGGGACTCTTTGACATCAAGTATAGCGGCCATGTATGGGCAAGAGAGATCTACCATATGTTTACTTGCAAAACGGACAGGTAAGTGTTCTGGGTTGGTTCTGGGTCTTTTCTCCCCCTCCATACACTAATTTTTTCTTTCTTTCAGGACAAGGTCGTCCATCTTGACTTCGTACGTTTCCGCGTTATGCACTGCGGCCCGATGGCACCTAGCCGTTGTTTCATTCAATGAATTTAGTGCGGTAGACTAATCTTTCTCAGGTCACTCAATCCTTCATGGAGAATTATCCCCGCCCCACAACAACCCGATGCTAGTATGATGTTGACGTTCGGAATCAATCCCCCACGGACGCAAGAGCCGTTGCGCCAGCAGTGCTTTTTTTTTTTGTTCACGGAGTCTAAAAAGACCATTCGATTAAGCCTCCACAGAGCCGCTCTGCACACCTCAGCCACTTATGTTATGTCGCTAATTTATTGAAGACCATGAATTCAATGTGGCGCACGATTCCGCCGCGCATGAGTGCAGTCTTGATACATTAATCTCCTAGCTCACGCAGGCCGTCGCTAAACATGGAAAGAACACGGAAAGTTCACGCTCAGGGTATTGTTTCCACAGGGGCGTGGTCGTGTCTTGGCGAGATTTTTCTTTTGCTTGGATTAAATACATTACACCATTGAAATTACACATGATACCCACTGTACCGCACTAGAGGGACACTTCCACCAAGCTTCTGGTGAATATTTCAGCTCGCCTGCTATTACTTTGATGAAAGTTGTATATTTGTTTCTAAGTTCCATTGCCCGAACCGTCGGCTGGCGTGGTTGAATATGGATCAGGTGAATTTCATGGTTAAGGGAAAAAGCTAGGCATCAGCGGAGCTCAAATTGAGCACATTGTCGTAATAAATATATGACCATCTCGAGAAAAAGTACACTGGTATGGTCCAAATGGAGAAAATTGTTTGGAACCTCTGTTGAACTGTAAAAGAAAATTGACCAGCCACATTTCTCTCCACCGCAGCATTTCCGATTCAGTCGAACTCCCCAGTGAGCAACCCGGCTTTATCTGGCGTGGGTGGAGACTGGGGAACTACACCCATCAAAGCCCGCCGGTTTGTCGGCTTGACCCTCCACCCCTGATTTCATGACAGACACAAAAACGGAGTTATGGCAGGGAAAATGAACGTGGCACAGAACCGGTACTACGCAAATAAATCCACACCAGCATTACGAGTCCAACAACACTATCCGCACGCCTCCAGCACCGAACAGTAGTCGTCCTTCCCGGGGCCCGCATTAATGCACCTGCCATAACCACAGAACTTCTCATACTTGACGAAGTCACGGTAGGTGGGATCGTCGCTGCACTTGAAAAGAGTGTTTCCCATCTCGCTGCGTGGATGCCCGGCGTCGAATGTTGCCTGGGTAGCCCTGTTCCAGTAGTCTGCATGAGACAATTAGTATATCCTCGAACATAAATAGCGATTGGGATACTTGCCGCCTGAAAAACTCGAGAGATTGTCCCCGCAATAATAAATACCGGGAGTGCATTGAGAGACGCCGACGGCGGCGGCGATACTCCCAAGGAAGGTGGCAGAAAGGAGCATGAATTTCATGGTAAAGGTTTGGGGGTGGTTTAAGTGGATGCAATGTGAGTTGCTTGACTGGGTTGTCAATGATCTACTGTCCGAATTCTCGTCGCTTTTATCTGAGTAGCCAAAGGATCAGGTGATTTTCTCAACACTCATCCCCCTCAAATTAGCTCGTGTCCCTTTCTCGCCACAATTTTGGATGTCATTTCGAGATGGCGAGATAATTAAGTGGCGCCGGCGTTATAGAATGTATCTTATTGCACGAAAGTGGCATTCTTTCGACCCATTTAGCCGAACCAATTACAAAGGTCTCCTTGATCGGGGTGGAATTCGCAGTACAATATTTTCATTCGCAAACACGGTTGCGGCCCCACCAAGCGCTGCAGCCTCAGTATTTGCTCAATGTAAATCTGGACTGGGAACCCAGTGTTACGCGAGAAGCTGTACTGAATGTATATGGGGCTGCTTCTCCAACCCGCAGCTCCAACAGGAACTCAGGGTGTGGGGTGCTTCATAGAGCTGTTGTTAATTTCCTGCACAGGCGAAAGTCTTGTCGCCACCAGTGCGTGAACCAACTCTTGGTTGGGACATAATTCATCGGAAAGTGGCCTTCGGCGCGAGGTGACGCCGGCGCCGCTTAGGTCTTGGCACCACCAGCGTGCTGAATTCCACACTGGCGGAGACAAGACCTTCGGTTCAGGCGTTTCGTCGCGCCGACGGGATGACATGAGCGGTCCAGGCGTTACCCTCGCGCCGAATGCCACCCTCGTTAAATTGTGTCGCAACCAGAGTTGATTCAGCATGCTGGTGGCGCGAAGACCTCCGGAGTCCAAGACCTCCGGAGTCAACTTCTCAAGCATTTCATCGCGTCGACGGGATCACATAAGCGGCGCCGGCGTTACCTCGCGCCGAAGGCCACTTTCCGATGAATTATGTCCCAACCAAGAGTTGGTTCACGCACTGGTGGCGACAAGACTTTCGCCTGTGCAGGAAATTAACAACAGCTCTATGAAGCACCCCACACCCTGAGTTCCTGTTGGAGCTGCGGGTTGGAGAAGCAGCCCCATATACATTCAGTACAGCTTCTCGCGTAACACTGGGTTCCCAGTCCAGATTTACATTGAGCAAATACTGAGGCTGCAGCGCTTGGTGGGGCCGCAACCGTGTTTGCGAATGAAAATATTGTACTGCGAATTCCACCCCGATCAAGGAGACCTTTGTAATTGGTTCGGCTAAATGGGTCGAAAGAATGCCACTTTCGTGCAATAAGATACATTCTATAACGCCGGCGCCACTTAATTATCTCGCCATCTCGAAATGACATCCAAAATTGTGGCGAGAAAGGGACACGAGCTAATTTGAGGGGGATGAGTGTTGAGAAAATCACCTGATCCTTTGGCTACTCAGATAAAAGCGACGAGAATTCGGACAGTAGATCATTGACAACCCAGTCAAGCAACTCACATTGCATCCACTTAAACCACCCCCAAACCTTTACCATGAAATTCATGCTCCTTTCTGCCACCTTCCTTGGGAGTATCGCCGCCGCCGTCGGCGTCTCTCAATGCACTCCCGGTATTTATTATTGCGGGGACAATCTCTCGAGTTTTTCAGGCGGCAAGTATCCCAATCGCTATTTATGTTCGAGGATATACTAATTGTCTCATGCAGACTACTGGAACAGGGCTACCCAGGCAACATTCGACGCCGGGCATCCACGCAGCGAGATGGGAAACACCCTTTTCAAGTGCAGCGACGATCCCACCTACCGTGACTTCGTCAAGTATGAGAAGTTCTGTGGTTATGGCAGGTGCATTAATGCGGGCCCCGGGAAGGACGACTACTGTTCGGTGCTGGAGGCGTGCGGATAGTGTTGTTGGACTCGTAATGCTGGTGTGGATTTATTTGCGTAGTACCGGTTCTGTGCCACGTTCATTTTCCCTGCCATAACTCCGTTTTTGTGTCTGTCATGAAATCAGGGGTGGAGGGTCAAGCCGACAAACCGGCGGGCTTTGATGGGTGTAGTTCCCCAGTCTCCACCCACGCCAGATAAAGCCGGGTTGCTCACTGGGGAGTTCGACTGAATCGGAAATGCTGCGGTGGAGAGAAATGTGGCTGGTCAATTTTCTTTTACAGTTCAACAGAGGTTCCAAACAATTTTCTCCATTTGGACCATACCAGTGTACTTTTTCTCGAGATGGTCATATATTTATTACGACAATGTGCTCAATTTGAGCTCCGCTGATGCCTAGCTTTTTCCCTTAACCATGAAATTCACCTGATCCATATTCAACCACGCCAGCCGACGGTTCGGGCAATGGAACTTAGAAACAAATATACAACTTTCATCAAAGTAATAGCAGGCGAGCTGAAATATTCACCAGAAGCTTGGTGGAAGTGTCCCTCTAGTGCGGTACAGTGGGTATCATGTGTAATTTCAATGGTGTAATGTATTTAATCCAAGCAAAAGAAAAATCTCGCCAAGACACGACCACGCCCCTGTGGAAACAATACCCTGAGCGTGAACTTTCCGTGTTCTTTCCATGTTTAGCGACGGCCTGCGTGAGCTAGGAGATTAATGTATCAAGACTGCACTCATGCGCGGCGGAATCGTGCGCCACATTGAATTCCTGGTCTTCAATAAATTAGCGACATAACATAAGTGGCTGAGGTGTGCAGAGCGGCTCTGTGGAGGCTTAATCGAATGGTCTTTTTAGACTCCGTGAACAAAAAAAAAAAAGCACTGCTGGCGCAAGGGCTCTTGCGTCCGTGGGGGATTGATTCCGAACGTCAACATCATACTAGCATCGGGTTGTTGTGGGGCGGGGATAATTCTCCATGAAGGATTGAGTGACCTGAGAAAGATTAGTCTACCTCACTAAATTCATTGGATGAAACAACGGCTAGGTGCCATCGGGCCGCAGTGCATAACGCGGAAACGTACGAAGTCAAGATGGACGACCTTGTCCTGAAAGAAAGAAAAAATTAGTGTATGGAGGGGGAGAAAAGACCTAGAACCAACCCAGAACACTTGCCTCCGCCAGTCTGTGTGTTCACCTACATACACACGTAGAAGTTTCAAACCAATCGGAGTCCACATTCACTCAATTTTTGTTTGCTCGGATAATCAATGGCTGACAAGATGCAACTCGCACGAAAGTCACAACAGCCTTGAAATACGGAGGATAACCCTTGGTTGATCAATCAGCATATCATCCCTATTGTACTTCGAGTGACTACGTTCCGGGACCTCCTAGACTGAGCCTGAGTCAAGCCATCTCGGCAGACCTAGGCAGAGCACTCTGTTAAGTCGGCTAAACAGAGTATTTTTAGGTCCGCCCGATTCTGTCCAGGTCAGCGCAGGTCAGTGGAGATTTGTGTAGGTCAGTGTAGGTAAGTATAGGTCTATCCAGGTCTGTCTAGAGACAGAGTGCTACTGATAGTCTGCCCATGAGACAGGGATATGCCTGGACAACGAGGTGGAACCACACTCACCTACACAGAGGTGGGATTGATGACCTAGGCTGATCTAAACACAGCTAGGCTGATCCGTCATCAGAAGAACTCAAAATGAGTGTAGGTGGCCTAGACAGAGGTATTTTGAGCACCTACACTCAGCTAGGCTGAACCCCCCTCAGAAAGCCAGACTGAGTCTAGGAGTTCCCGGAATGCAGTGAGTTGCATAACCGGGAAGACGGAGGTTTGAATCCTCCCCAAGGCATTGGTTTAATTGGTGCCTTTTTGTTCCTGCCTTGAGTTTTTCTCCTCCATCATGCGAAACACGCAAATCTCTGCGCTCATCTACATCATGTAGAGTTGCCAAACCAATTGAAGTCCACGTTCATTCGATTTATGTTTGCTCAGATATTCAATCGTAGCTTAGAGGGCTGAAGAAGACACTGAGCTCGCACCCAAAAATTATCCCACCTACCCAACCCCAAAATACATAGAATAAGGTTTGGTAGATCAATGGGCATATCATCCCTACTCGGTGCGTTGACTGGTCACTGTACGGGGTGGGAAGACGGAGGTTCGAATCCTCCCCAGCGCATTGTGTCTTAGACATTGAGTTATTTTTTTCACCATGTATCCTTCTTGCATTACCTCTAATATAACATTATAAAAATGCTGTTCTATGCATAGGGAGAACTCATGAACAAAGTTAGAGTCCGAAAGCTCAGGTATTTGTCACATAAATATTCGATCAGCCGGTTGAAAAATCGACACGCAGTGTACAGAAATCACAGCACCTATCCAACCTCCAAAATTACAGAATAAGCCTTGGTGGATCAATTGGTAGATCATCCCTGAGGCCTAATCAATGTCACAATACTTTGTGCCGTTCGGAAGATAGGGTTCAAATCCTTCCCAAGGCGTTAGATGATATGCTTGATGACTTTTTTGTTCTTGCTTTTATTTTTCCCCGTGTTTCCTTCGAGAATTAGAACATGCCAGCCTGTGCGTTCACTTACACATGTATCACCGCCGAACCAATTGAAATCCTCATTGATTCAAGTTTTGTGGGCTCAGATATTCGGTCGACCGACAAGGTTGAAACTGACAGGCAGCCCGCACAAAAGTCACAGCGCCTATCCAACTTCGAAATAGAGAGAATAAACCTTGGTGGATCAATCGGTAGATGATCCCTCCTCAGTGGCTCCTGTAGAAGGTTTCACACGGGAATACGGAGGTTCGAATCCTCCCCAAAGCATGAGAATGTCGTCAGGATGTTGTTTTTTGTTTTCGCCGTATTTATTCAATCTCACTGCGTTCAGGCCTCAGGTAGCAGGGCCCCGTGGCGAGCCGCGTAGCCAGGAAGTAGTCAGTGCCAAATGTCGAGGTCACGCTAGCTGCCTCGACAAGTGTCTAGCCATGGCTAGACTCGTGAAACCAGTCGACGTTGGCTTGGGTGATAAGACAGCGGGCCGCGGCGGAAATATACGGATTAGGAAACAGAACAAACAGGAACAACATCGGAGCAAATACAAACAAGAGGATCACCCTGCCAACGGACTGGGCGCGCCCGTCGCCGTTTTTGGTGATGGTGCCAATCAAGAGGTCCGAACTTTGAAAAAATTCGTCGAAAATGTCAGAAAAAGTGTCCTGAAGTTCCTAATTGAAAGTCGGATAACTTTTGATTCTCTACTGAATGAGCCAAACATGTTTTTGGGTGAAAAAAAATGAATTAAGATGAGATATAGGAGTCGCCATCATCGCTGTCCGAGCTGTCAGAGTAGTCGTTGTCGCTATCATCGAGGCGCCACTCATCCACATCCATATCTAGCTCTACATCGCGTTCGTCGTGCCGTGTCAAGGTCATCTCGCTTATCATCCACCAGGATCAATTAAAGCTAAATTTCACCCAGAAAACATGTTTGGCTCATTCGATAGGGATTCAAAAGTTATCCAACTTTCAATTAGGGACTTCAGGACACTTTTTGTGAGATTTTCGACGAATTTTTCAAAGTCCCGACCTCTTGATTGGTAGGTTCGGATCAAGCCGCCGACCATTGTTTGTTGATGCGGGTCAGGTTTTTGGTCAAACAATGGAAGGGGCTTGTGCCAAGATCAAGAAATTGGGCAGGACCTTCGTCACGTTCTGGAGTCATGCAATTCGCGTCAATCGCTAGCCACTGGAGACAAAAATCTTCATCTTCATAAAACTTAGATATTGGCCAGTTTATATTGAGAAAATATGCTCTTTAGAAATAGAAAAGTGCCGCACAACGGCGGACTTTGTGAATTTGTGCATCACGATGTTCACCACGTCTACAGTCCGAAAATAATAAAATGAGGCAGCGGATATTATTCAATTGTCTTTACATCTTATTTTCATCTTTTAAACCAATATTTTTCGCCCGGTAGACACTGCACGACGCGACTTTGTGTAGGGAGCCCGAAGCTCTGATGGCATTGCCCGATTGGGAATGATGCGCAAAGGCGCGTTTTTTTATCTAAATTCCCCTCATATGCTGGCCCCGTGGCCGCAACCACCACGGAGTCAATTACCCATCTGTTTTCAAGGCTTCCGGCGCTCCGAGACGCCGCTTCACGAAAAATCACTTGTCACACATTGTGACACTCATTCCCGGGAACTTGATAATTGTTTCTAATATGTTGAAAGCACTGGAGAGACAGACTGAAGCTGTGGGATTAAATGATTTAAGTATAAGAGTTGATAGAGGCCATAAAAACCGGGACCTGAAGCAAGATAGTATCCAAATTGCGGTAACCTCCAGAAAAATGTGTGCTCAATCATTTGCAGCGTTGGATCAGTGGGACACAGTATAAAATTCTAGACTTCGAGGCATATAATTCTAGGCATACAATAAACACTTTTCCCTCTTAAGGTTGTTGGAGGTGGCGCGAATGACTGTACAAAACCGACTCGAAGATCCTCACTGTTTGTCTTAGCTTGTCCCAAGCCTCTCTCCGAGAAAGACCGGCTGACCGGTCCGGAGAGAGGGTTGATCCGAACCTACTTGATTGGCAGGGAAAACATCCATCACCCAAACTGACGACGGGGGAGCCCAGCCGGTTCAGGTGATGATCAAGCCTTGGTGAGATCGTGTCATCATGATGACACTCACCGGGCCGGCTGGGGACGAGCCTAAGCCATGGCTAGCCATCTAGCAAGAACTAGCCAGGGCCTGTGTCCTGCCCGCATCTCTAGTCATGTCCCAAGGCATCTGTTAGAAGTCAGAGAGTCAATGTAGGATATTGGTAGGATAAAATCAAAAATAGCCATCATCTGCAGTGTGGGTGGCTGTTTGTCCCGTATCAGTGGCAGTGTTACTTGATCCGAACTTTTGTCCGCGCGCGCGTGCACGGTGCGACTAACCCCCGAGCATGCTTTGATCACCTGTGTCTTTCGGACGCGCTCATAGATCTCCGGGAACAATTTCTCGGCAAACTCTTCAATGATTTACCTAACCTACGACATCAGATGGCTGAACTGTCCAACACGGAGTTCCTGAAAGCCATCATCTATCCTAGATCTACCATTGCGCTGGTTGCTAAATTTGCTTACGATGTCCTCCAAACTTATTACGCTGTCCCCGTGTATCGTCTGAGTGAAGGCTGATTCACCCGTACTAACTTTTGCTTCTTTGTATTCCTCTAGTTTTACCGCGGCGTGTGGAAACATAGCGACCGCGAGCTTTAATTAGCAGGGTGCAGGGAGGTCCAGGGACGATAGTTACTAGTGCCTGTACACTGGGATAATTCCTGGAAACCGGCGTTCATGAGTTGGACCGTGCCGTGTAATGCTACCTACCTACCTACCTACCACAGTATAGTAGACTCCTCTCGCAGTCCTTTGTTCCATCCCTGACTACGATTACCGTGCATTGTGGTGGTTGCAATGGTGTTTAATTAATATACTATTATTACATGCTTGGCCCTGCTGTTGCCAAATGAATGGCTAGCACCAGCAGAACTAGCAAAACTAGTGTCGAGGTTGTGCTAGCCGGTTAGAAAGCTGCGTCGAGCTGAGCGTCGCGGACCTACAATGGTCTCACAATGGCTCTGGCTAGCCGTTGTCTAGGTGACCGGGGCGAGCTATTTTAGACAGCTAGCCGGACCTCGCCGCGGCTACAAGCGGCTAAAAATGGCTTCGGCTATCCGGCGCCTGAACGCAGTGTCTGTTTTATGGAACTACCAAACGAAATTGGAGTCCCAGTTCATTCAATTTCTACAATTGGTATTAACGGTGGATGTTTCCCGTGATATTCAAGGGCGGATATATCTCACAACACATGAACAGGAAAATTGCCGCACCTCTTCCAACCATCTTCTGGAATGGGAAGCGGAGGCACAAGCACAACTAGAGTGACTTGACAGGCAAGCTGTACTACTCGGGCCAGTGTGACTTGGCATGGCACAAAGACCCGCTCGTACTAGTGTATGAACTTAGGCCATAATAGTGCTTATTAGAATGCTAAGCGATGAGCCCACCAATAAATGAATTGCAGTTTTGCCGTCGGTGATCATGATTTTCTGATGCGATCATCCGGAAGCCGATTCACATTTAACCTTCCACTCACTCTTCTCTCCTGGTTGCTCCGGGTACCGAGTAGCTGGCACTTGTTCGCCATTGATGAATGGTTATTATGGGCTTACCTCGCTCCACTTATGGCGCCGACGGAGCACTTGAAAGCATCCCTACATGATCACAATCGTCTCTCTCTGTCCCTTGTGAGAACATAACCTGTCTGAGCCTAGCCGCAGACGGTATCCACAACCAGTAAGCGATATAACACACGCCCAAAGAGGTGTGGGAAGTCTCTGTCCCTTCCTACACAAATTTCTGTCGTTCAATGGAAGAGAATAGTCGCCAGGATCTTTCTCTATGGGCAATCACGAGGGGTCTGAAGGCATCATTTCCACCCGCGGTCAGAATCTTGTCTGTCATTCCGGGAATATTATGATATTATCATCTCCCCAGCTGGATATTGTTATAAGCCCGGGCGCCTTGCCATCTCCAAGCTAGTGCCTCCCCACAATGCTTTCTACCTCTCCCAGGTCACTTCTTGCTCTGAATACAGGCGGCCTCGATCTTTCGACATTCGCTTGGGGCCAGTAAGTTTGTAACCATTGAACCATCATTATTGACTGATATTCTGGCTTTTAGTCAGGTTTACCGCTCCATACTTATATCCGCAGTCGGTGGGTAGAATTCCCTACCATTCTGCCTTTACGAATGTCTCCCTTCGCCTCCGCAGTTATTCTAATCTACGATCACCTCCTCACCCTCGAATCGGAGGTCAAATGGGTGTGGCTTCCGCGACACAGACTTGCAACATATTGGTTTTTTCTAGTACGGTATATGGCTATCGTTGCTATTGCGACATACGCGACATTCTACTTTGGCGATTTTCTTCCTGAGGTTTGTGTGTTATTTGTCGCAGTGGATGGGGGATTTATTTCTCCACAGACGTATGTACAAACCACCTCATTTTCCCCTGTTTACTTACACCGTGTTCAGCTGTTCCAAAATTGTGATAGCATTACAATGTTTGCTTTTCATCCAGGGATTGCTGGTTGAAGGTGAGTACACGTGCCGTTCGTCCGAGTTCTGATTATTGAAGGTTTCAAGTTACCCTTGGTCTTCGCGTGTTCGCAATGTATGGCTCGGATATGCGTGTATTGGCCGTGATGACGGTCCCAAGCACCGTCACTGGTGCTCTCATTATCGTATGTGTAATTTCTACCAACTATTCCCAATGAACATATTGAAGATGTTCCTTGGTAGTGGACCATCGTCGGATTGCACTCTCCGGGTCCCGTCATGTTGACCGCTCCCGGATTTATTGGCTGCCATACAGTCGCTCAAAAATCTACGTAAGCCAGCTGAGCCTTTTGCAGATCCTTGTGG